TCGGAATGGACATAAATTCCAAACTGACATATGTCCATTTGGAATGGACATAAATTCCCATCTGACATATGTCCATTTGGAATGGACATAAATTCCCATCTGACATACAACACCCCCTCCTTCCAAAATCAGCGTCGACTACTTGAACTGGGCAAGAAACTCGTAAAGAGCAATGAGACCAGTTAAATAAGAGTCCCGATATTCTGATTACTGAACAAGATTTTTGGAAAGATTATGTTTGGCCGAAAAACTTTGGAAAAAAGTGGGAAGAAGCTCAAGTTAACCCATGCTAAGATAACAAGTATCGATTTCATTGTTATTAGAACCAATAAACTCATCACACCTGCCATAATAAAATAATATTGAAAAAATTTTCGGAATCATAATTCCGTTACGCCAAATAGTCAGGAATTTACCTGCCAGGTCAAATATTATCTCTTCATTGGACACTCAGATGGCTTCTCCATAAATAGAAATATTATGGACTGTACGACGTGTCGGGTTGTGCCACACGACATAGCAGGTATAATTTACGCCAGATGCTATATAGCCGCCAGTTATTTTGCGAGGCAATGTTGTACTAGGTTTGATAATACGAAATTAGTTATCAAGGAGTAACAAAGGTGGTCTGGCAACTAATGAATAATCGGCGAAATTGCGAGAACAAAAAGTCTATAAATATGTGTATCAATAAGTTCTAACCGATAAACTTCAATCTGCAATTGGCAACTTTTAGTTTATCAGATTTATCGTTTTACTTTTAAAAACCTTTCAAATTTGAAATGGAAATTAAACGCTACCGTGCTAAACAAACATTTACGAATTCTCTTTTCCGTCATATTGTGTTTTTCTCACTCATTTCACTTGCAAGAGCGTCTATTGTCGATGACTCTTATTCGTCGCACCAAGATTTATACGACGCAATTCTTAACACGCTTTTCCCAATCACCTTTGTCGTGCTATTAAAGGTCTCGGAAAAACGTGGTGGAGGAGACAGTGGTGTTCAAAGTGACAAGAACATTCGAAGTGACAATGATGCTCAAAATAACAACGCTGCTCAAAATAACAACGCTGCTCAAAATAACAATACTGCTCAAAGTAACAATGCCGCTAAAAGTTTTTCGATGAAAGATATTCTGTTGCCACTGCTGGACGATGTATTGTACAATGTAGTTACTTGGGTCATTCCATTAGCGGTGTCATTTGCCTATAACAATTCGCTGGCTTTAAAAATATTTTCAATTGTAAACATGTGTTTACATATAACTTGTGCACTGATTGCATTAATCAATTGGCAGAGAATTAGTGATATTGATTTCGATGCTAATGATAATATATGGACTGGCATAGGAATTTTTTTGGTGTTTTTCCCCGTTTTAGTAATTCCAATATTCTGGATTACTTACTTGGTGACCAATCATATGGTTGCTTTAATAAACTTGTTATTTATTGTATGGTTTGGAAGTTTGTTGGCTTTAGCATTTAGCTGTATTATGGCCGGTTACATTATGAAAGCTCTAACCAATACATTACTTATTATTCCTATAGTAATCTGCTTTTATGCCCCAACCCTTTTGCAAACATTATTGATTTTGTTAATGTGGCCAATCAATTTTTATTTTGTAAAAACGTGCGTTTTTGTATTAGTACTGTCTTTAACTAGAAATATATCTTACGTTGCTGATGAGGCACCAGATGACTTTTTGGCAACTTCAACAGCATACGTTAAATATAGAATTCGTTTATTGATAGATAGAATGAGATAAATAATCTGAATCCCGTTAAACCGAAGTGGGTCGGGAACATATGTAGGTGGGAAATGCTTAAGAAAGTCGGTTTATTATTATCGGGAAATTTTAGAGGTTTTAGAACTTACTTTTGGTTAAACGGGGTTCGGATTAACGGGGGTTGACTGTGTAGTATGAATGTACATATGAAAAAATAAAAATAAAAATAAATTTTTTCCAAAATCTCTGTAGTTCCGTGACGTGAGGAGCAATAATTTATTGCTGCTTTTGCATTTATACTTTGAATACTTGTGCTTGAGAGCGATTATTAAGCATGTTCTGGGACAAAAACCAACTTTACTTAGTATAATGTAGTTGCTTGCTTAGCAGTACTCAAGTAACGGACCAATTACAAAGCGATTATATACACATATTATTTTTCATGGTCAAATAATTGATGCAATCTTCTACAGCACATAGAAATCTTGAACAAGAACTTATGTCAGACTTTATTTGTAACGCGACATTTGGTAAATGTCTTTATTACTATAAACGGAAATGTTATAATGTCTTGTACTTTTACATTGTAACTGAACTTTGAATAAAGAAGGAAGACTAAGGAAGCGGAATGGAGGCGAGTATGTAAACATTATGCAAATAACATTATAAGAACAATTAAGTAACGATCATACTTAATGTCTTGAGTATTCTAAATTTTAATTTAATATAATATATCTTGATAACTCCCACTTGACATCCCTGATTCAACATATCTGTTCAATTAAGACTGAGTTTCGATCGAGCGACAGCTCTTTGCTGCACAAACATACCATCTCCATACGAATCAATGTTGTTTGCTTTTCATAGGTCCACCAGCTTTACATGTGAATTCCAAGAAATTACAAGCTTTACCATTTCACTGTCCTAATAAAATGATAATATCAATTGTACTGTAAAGAACAAAACACGATGCGCTCTTTGTTACCTACATCAATTTTGACTGGTAATTACAAAGTACACTTTAATTCAAAGTGCGTTTTTGTTTGTACCATATCCTCTCGTGAATAAGGGCTCACCTTCATCATATAAGGGGGCTCTTATTCACGAGATGTTTGGTTGCGCCTTAAAAACAATGCAAAATGATCCACGAATCGTCACGTAACATTATCTCTATTTATTACATAATCACGAACTATATTTAATATAATAAAGTAAAATATGACGTCGATTGTTGATGTGATGGGGGGATGAGGGGCCAGCTATTTTATAACATTACGGCCCTTATTCACGATAGTTTACGGAAATTATATTTCATTAGCGGGGAGAGCAGACAGAACTTGACGATCACGTTTTAGTGCACACAAGTGATCATACTAAACTACCACATGTAGTATGTATTGCAAACCGGAAACGGCTTTTATTCTCTTGAAGCATATAAGATATGACTACTAAATAACCATTTCGTCGGAACTGCATTAAAAGAACTATATGCAACGTACACCGAACAGAGCGAAACGCGACCTCTCTGCAGGTTCTCGGGCCATTAACTATTATGATGGCAGTTGAAGACTATAAGGTTTATGTATGGTGGATGTGGCTATCCGAAATTAGTTGTTTGTCACATACTCGCAGAACTACGTGTATACCCAAATCCCACCTGGGAAGGAGATAATTATCTTTTTAACACAGCATCATTGTTAACAAAAGATTAACTTTCCGATCCATTCATTCAGATTTATTGATTATCCTTCTATGTTACTATTCCTTAGTTGTCGACAGCTTACCAGTCCCAAACTTCGCTGCTGCGCGTTTAAGTTATTCCTATCCTTGATAGACCACTAAGCACATGTCAGCAACTGACAAATAGCTGACAAACAGTCGTACTTGGCACTTTGATAGTGGATAGTGCAGCTATTTCTCATGCACATTGCTGATATGTGCTAGTATGTACTAATTTGAGTCAGCCCGAGATTATTAAATTTTTATGTTATTTCCTCTGCAGCATACTTCCGATTGGTAACCGCAGTACGAATGAAATGACGCTTATCAATGGTCTTCAAAAGAGGTGGTCTACCAGAACGAGGAGTATTAGATACAATCTGATCTCTTTCAACTTATTTATTATGTTAATACAAGTCGTTCTAGGTATTTTAAGTATTTCTTCGATGTCTGTGGCAGAGTTATTTCACTTAACTCTCGAGTTTTGTCATTTTTCACTAAAAGTTGAAGTCAAAAATAAAGAAATTATCTTAACTTACAAACAAAAAAAAAAGTTTATAAATTTAGGTAGAATAAATTACATTTGAACTAATGCGACTTGCCAAAATTTTATTTGATCATTGTTGTGTGACCAATACTTTTGGCCAGTATGTGTACATCAAAATGGAAGATTGTCAATCTTTCTCTGATCTAGCTAAGATTGCATATAACAATAAATGTGTGAGTATTGATCAGATAACACCATAAGCAGAATGTACCATAGAGCCATGGATATATAAATTGCTGTATATAATGTAACTACTAATAGTATTATCTTAAAGAAAATATTCCAACACAACATAAGGCTTACAAATACCTTTCTTAGCATAGACAGAACGTGTAACTTCGTATGATCGTTACTGCTGAGCTGCACAGAAATCTAGGGAGGAATACATCATCGCCACACAAGTCTCTGATGACATCTAGCGTGACTCACATTGCTTGTGAATCTCGGTTCAAAAAGTCTACTTTGATATTGTAACGTCGGCCCGTTCAGTACTAATAATCACAAAGAGAATAGATGAGTAACCATATCATCATAGTCAAGAACCATTGAAGAACGTTCACAGCAGGCACGTCCACCGAAGTCAGGGCCGGGGTTCTGCCGGGTAAACGTCGCATGCTGTGGCCACGATGCGCTTTCAATTCAGTGGTCCATGTATCCTATTCACCACAAGTCCGAGCGAGCGTGATAAGCTACAGTCGGCGTTTCGGAACGGATTACGAACGTTCACAACAAGTAGATTATTTACATCAATCAGGCCCCCG